AGAATATTAGGGGTTCTCGGATAACATGTTTTGTCCTTTATGAAAAAAATGTTAATTCAAGACTTAATTTTTGAAATTCAAATTCTTTAATGTATTTTTCCCCACAACTCTATAAAGAAAACAATATTTTTATTTACATTTTCCTTTTGGAGCAAAAATGTTAATATTTAGAATCCAACAATGTTTTTCATAAAAAAATAAGAATGATGAGTGTTAAATGATTGTATGTTAAATATTTTTTCACAAATGAAAATTTCAAGCTCCTCGAAGCAAATAGCTACTCATGTAATTAGCGACGATCTCAGAACTCGCTCACCATATAAATAAAGCTTTGGCTGTAACACTGAATCCACTTTTCACTTTGGTTGCTAATCGGATGTGTGCTGATTTATATTTTAGTCGGTGCCAACAGTTTTTATTCATCAACTGTAATTAGCTTTGAACTAGCTATTAGAACTCAGCGTCTTTTTGTTAATTGGTTATATACTCCGCGCTAATCTTTTTGAGTCGATCCCTTTCCAACTGAGTTTTTCAATTTGTTCTTATGTTGTTTGCTATTTCAAAACTGTTCCTGATTATGGGAGGGTTGAGTGCTCCCAAACATGGTTAACGCTGCACACTATTAATATGATTATCACAAGAAAGAAGCCCGTTATTATTTAGTGGTTATTGTTTGATGTCTGTCGTATTTGTTTTTACATTTATTGTCTTAACAGTTTTGTATTTTAACGATGAGCTATTATAGTTTGTTAACATCCACACCCACATCATTGTTATCTCTAATGGAAAGTTTTCTTATTTGCAATCATACAGCATCTTCTTATGTTTTTAAAGTGGGGAGATTTTACAATGAATTATGGTTTTACTGGCAGCGATCAATCATACTATCAAGAAATCACTGATAGAGTTTAGTGGACCTTAAAAGATAAACATTTACAGTGTTCTCCCCAGAAATTTTGGATAGCATCACATTTGGCGTAAAAAAATAAACTGTATTTTTTTCAATGTCATTTGACGCGTCGCGGCGATGCTCTGTTTCCTTTTTGTTATATATGTTTATATTGTTCATTTCATAACTGAGAATACAATTAAACTATAAACCATGATAACAATTGTTTCAGTTTATGTTTTCTATATTCATTTATAGTTACAGAATTATTTTTTTCCTCTTGGGCCAAATAAAAATATATGTGTGGTTCCAGTAACCCTACCTACTCAACTAAATTAATGAATGAATGAATGAATGGTTTATTATAGTGCAACCTGTATATATACAGTACTAAATATCTAGCAAAAAAAAACCAACTGGTTTTTATATAAAAAGGGAAGAGAAAGTATCATATAGCAATAAAATTTCAATTAAAAACTGTTTTCTCTAAAAAACCAAATAAACCTCAAGCCTAAAGAATATAAATGATGTATATTCTTTAGGCATGAGGTGAATTTTTTTTAATATTTTTTTAGTTTCGTTCAAATGAGTTGAATGCAGGTCAGCACATTCAGGAAGCAGAAAACGCATCTTTTACATAGATATTTCTATAATAGAGTATAATCATGAATAAAGAGAGATTTGAGGTTTTTAAAGTCAATGAGATAGCAACCCAAACGACTAACAAAAACCAGCAGACATAATTTCAGATTAGACATGACCATCTAAATACTAACTTTGGCCATAAGTCGTCCTCGTCTTTACAGTTCTTAGGCTAAAGCTGATTACCTTTTACTTAATTAATTCAATGAGATATCTTAAAGAAGGAACTTTGTAATGCTTTTCTTTATATATATATATATATATCTTTGACCATAATATTTTCATACAGCAGACTACCCATGTTAGTTCTTTGTCATTATCATTTGGTTGATGTTTCAGACCACCACATACAGGTTTTACCTTACTGGGTAAACACATAAGGTGCTGTTACTATTAAAACTTCCTGCAGGAAGTGATCCCATCAATTCATTCAACAGTGCTTATCTCATTTTTAACATCCAAAATTGGACCACTTTGGTACAATTACTATTTAAATTCAAGCTTTTATAATCAAATTGACAAGGCGTCCCTTGAAATTGCCTTAAACAATATCAGATCTATATTTCATACTAATTCAGTGAACTAGTAAATGTTATCAAATTTAAAAAGCTTATATATCTGAAATTAAACTTGGATATTGATAGAGATTGCTAAATAAAATTAGTCTGTGTTTAACTGTGACTTTATACAATTCAAATGTTGAAAAAGTAGCTAATGAAAAAATAAACAAACAAAAAAAGGACTACAATCAATGACGATGCAAGGACACTAGAAAAATAACTCTTCCCCAGCAATTAACATGACTAAATCAAAGTCAGTAACCAAACTGATTTACAGTTATTTTTTAACACAATCATTTTTTGTTTTGTTTATTACAATGTATACCTACACGTATAATTACTATAAATACATAACAGAAAGATAAGATAAAAATTTCAAACTTACAGAAAATGCACTTCTTTAAAACTGAGTTTTACTGTGTGTTTATTTATTCTACATTGTCTAGAGAAACTAGGGAAGGGTTGAGTTCTCACACAAAATGTTTACCCCGGCCACATATTGCACTTATCCCAAGTCATGAATCTCAAGATCTAGCCTTTGTTTGTCTTGTGTGTGTTTTTTTGTGTGATAATTTTGGTCCATTTATATTTATTGCAGTTCAGGAGTCGATTTTTCAAAAAAACTTACGATGAAGATTGATCGTAAGTATACTGAATTGTCCATGACTTACGATCAATCTTAGTCGTAAGTTTTTTTGTGAAAGGGACACAAGGCCTTTAAGGTGGTGTCCATTTCGCTGAACTAGTGTACAAAATAATTAAGGGATCAGCTAAAGCCTACCTCCGTGTGCCGGATTAACTTGCTATGTTAAAGACCCATTATAGTGGCCTTGTTTTCTCTTTGACAAATTCCCTGTTTAAGTTTGCAAAATTCAAACTAGAAATAACCAAGATTTTGAAATTTTCATTTTGTATGCCCCTCACTTAGGGGCATTATGTTTTTTGGTCTGTGCGCACGTTCGTTCGTCCGTCTATCCCGCATCAGATTAAAGTTTTTTGTTAAAGTTTTTGGTCAAGGTAGATTTTGATGAAGTTTGAAGTCCAATCAACTTGAAACTTAGAACAAATGTTCCCTATGATATGGTCTTTCTAATTTTAATGCCAAATTAGAGTTTTGACCCAAATTTCACAATGCACTGAACATAGAAAATGATAGTGCGAGTGGGGTATCCATGTACTATGGACACATTCTTGTTTTGTAATTAGTTTGTAAAACAAAATATTTCACACAACAAATTGATTATTATTGATATTGATAATAAGAGGAATACATATGCATATAGACATAAGATAATATAGTCTGTCTATAAAGATCCTATGTTAAAACTTTTAACCATGAATAACCGAGCTTTTTATTTCTATTTTTCACAATTTTTCTCTACAAATCACATTTTACACAAGAATTACATTTTTTTTAAATACTAATAACTATAGGACTTCTTAAGATAAACATCAGATAGTATTTTCTATTTAGATCCTAATTCGAAAGTGTTAACCATCAATAACCGAGATTTTTTCATTTCCAGTTTTCGGGTTTTCTGTCTTAAAACATATATTCAACCAAAATTACCCAAATATTAATATTGATAACTAAAGGACTTCACAAAATAAACATAAAATAGTATGTTCTTTTTTCTATATAGATCAAATTTCAAAAATATTAACCATTAACAACGGAGATTTTTTATGTTTCCAGTTTTCGACGTTTTTTCACTAAAAATCACTTGAATAAACCAAACATGACAGGAATGTTCCTTATAAGGTGCTGACCAGGTGTTGTTACTTTTTAGCAAATCCATCAATCAAGATGGTCGCTAGCAGGTGCTTTGTTTAATAGAGAACCCTTTGGAAAATATATACAAATGTCTACTCATATAGAACCACAGAGTGATGGAATACAAGCAAAAATGGCATGAATTTTCCTTATGAAATGCTGACCAAGTGTTGTTACTTTAAGCAAATCCATCAATCAAGATGGCCGCTAGCAGGGAGTTAGTTTAACGAAGGACCTCATTAGAAATACATACAAATGATACATAAGACTTTTAATGTTTTAAAATATAGAAAATCTTGTGTCTTATCATATTTTCGGATGTATTTAAAAATATATTTCTGTGTAAATCATTTTTTTTTTAACTTTGCCAAATAACTCAGATAAAGTAATTTTATAATAGAAAGTGTTGTGAATTTACCTATTTTAATATGTAGCAAGAAAACAAGTCCGGTGACCCGCTTTTTTTTCATTTTCGTATGTGAAAGCATGCTGTAAGAGCTATCTTCAGACATTTTATCTAAAAATTAAATGGTGTAGTTTTCTTCTTATCACACAAAACGGGATTTCCATGCATAATATATACAAAATCTGACCAGTTTTGCCAAACCTGGAGCGTGAAAAAAAGTGCGATGACCCATAATTTTATAATAATTTTGAAAAAAAAAGCATGATAAAAACTTCATTTTGACAAATTATTTAAAAGTTCTATGGATTTTAAATAAATCAACCCAGCCACTTTAATTCTAAAGGGCAATACAATGACTATAGGATTGTGTTAAATTGTATGTTTAACATTAGCTTTAATCTAAGCGGTTCTCATTCAATTATATTACTTATAATAAGTGGTTCATAATAAGTGATTAAAGAAAATAAATGGATAATGTATCTGATGCTTTCAACCCTCTTCTATTTGTTATGAAAATAAACCAATATTTCTACATATTTTGCCCCCAATAAATTGCTTTACGCCCAACGGTTGAATAGACCAAAAAGATATGAATTAGGTCATATATATATCAGGAAAGAGGCAGAAATTAAGAACACAATTCCGGAAACTGCATGCCGGTAAGATTTAAGAAAGAAAAAAAACGGCTTCAATACAACCTATAAATGATTACATTTTTTTTTATTTCAGAGGTCTTAGCTACAACCAAATAGGAACAATACAAAAAGGAACGTTTGTAGACGTACCATCACTCACTTCAATGTATGTAAAATATTTTAAAGAACTTTTTTCAGATGCAAAAGAAAAAGACTTGCCTAGGTTAACGAACGACCCTTATCAAAGCTGATCGAAGAAAGATGTACATACTCCCCTCAAGTACATGACATCGTGTGTTATTTTTAGCCAGTTAAAAACTACGACTTTAAAATTGGTATTTTTCGGCGACATCTAAAATATCAGGAGTAAAAGAAAAAAAGGTTAAATATTTTTGAGCATGTTGAGATGCACCTTGTCTTGTGGACTGTTACCCTGAATGCGAACGCTTTGTATGTCGGTATCAAAAAGTGTTTATATTAGGGACCGATTATAATTTATCAAGGTATGGGACTGGTGCAATTTAGCATAGGATATACCCTTTTTTAAATCAACTTTCCATGGGACAAGGATTTTTTTTCCAATTTAGATATTAAGATAAGCATGAAACATTGACTTTTTTGAAAGGACTGTCCAATATTTATACAAAAGATAATTTAGGGCAGTGCAAATATGCGGTTTATAGTAGGCAGGGCGAAATAATATTTTTCAATAAATATAATTGAGAATGGAAATGGGGAATGTGTCAAAGAGACAAAAACCCGACCAAAGAGTAAAAAACAGCCGAAGGCCACCAAAGGGTCTTCAACACAGCGAGAAAATCCCGCACCTGAAGGCGTGTTTCAGCTAGGACCCTAAACATAAATGTGTTCTAGTTCAGTGATAATGGACGTCATACTAAACTCCAAAACATATAAATAAAATAAAATTAGAAATCATACAAGATTAACAAAGGCCAGAGGCTCCTGACTTGGGACAGGCACAAAAATGCGGCGGGGATAAACATGTTTTGAGATCTCAACCCTCCCCCTATATCTCTAGCGAATGTAGATAACAAACACATAGCAATACGACCTGTAAATCTCAGTTTAAAAGACGTCAGAGTCCGATGTAAGGATAAGAAACAAAAGCAACTAAGCAAAATGACAATGATACATAATTTAACAAAGGACTACTAGCAGTTACTGACATGCAAGTCTAGACCTCAATTAAACTGATCGCAATATTATTTCTCCATCATATGAAAATCAAGTACAATCCCTCCCATAAAAAAAGTTATGTGGCGGAAACTCTTTTTGTGAGGAAAAATCAGGCTGTTAGTGTCCTAGGGGACTCGACCTCAATTTTATTTAGCATATCTATATGGGACAATTACTATTTCAGCAATTTTGTAAAACAATATTTGTTTCTTATCTAGTAGTTTCAATTCCATTTGAATTTAACTGAAATTATCAAATCTGATATAAAATAAGCACCAACTCTAGTAATTAGGAATAACTTGTACGTGTGGTTCGTTTGGTCTGAGTTCGCCATTGGTCAAAATTTGATTATGACGCTCAATTTTCCTGCCTTCTTCTGAAATTCTCATTGTGGCGTCATGTAAAAAGGCGATCATACATTTTGTGTGTCTTTGTTGACAGTGATGTTTGTTTATAGTGATTATGAGTTTAACACAATGGTGACTAATGCAACTCAATTCTTTTACATTATAACCTCGTATGTCTGTTTGTTTTGCTCACACGTTGTTGTCAATATAATGGCATTTTTGCGATTGTCACCCAATGAGAGGTTTAGCTTGCTATAAAACCAGATAAAGTCCATCATTTTCTATATAAGGAAATGCCAGTACCATGTCAGAAATATGACAGTTAATTTGTTTGATGTGGTTGGGCTTTTGATTTTGTCAATAGATAAGAGACTTTCTATTTTTAATTTTCTTTGGAGTTTTTTTTTTGTATTTCACTATATAACAACAAATTAATTGTTAAATTACCATTATTTTGTTTCAGAGATTTGTCCGTCAATCAAATAAAAACAATACAGGACGAAGCATTTCAAGACCTAACAGCCCTCGACGGATTGTATGTGAACATTATTAAAATAGTTATGTTGACTCAAATAAGAATAAAATAAAGATTCAATTAGTGGTAGAATATATTTAAAACTTTCTGAAGTTCTGCAGCTTAGCAGTGTCACCATTTGTGAGCCTATACATGTACAATGTACTAATTCTTTTATTGTGAACACGATATCAAGAAATGACGTAGGAGGTCAATTGTGATTTAAATTTTCATTCTAAGAAGCAAGTCAAAATCAAAATCAAAGTCTCGTTACAAAATTGTGTAAATTCCCCATAGCAGAATAAGACAGAAGTGAAAAAATGTAATACTGTTGTGATAAAAGTATTGATTGAATATGTTGAATGTATAATCCGTCACAAGCGCTGTTAAAAAAACATTTCTCATTTTTCTAATCCACTCAAGGAAGTGTTTTTTTATGATATGGATATCGTTGACCAATATTTTATACAACAACGAAAGACCAATATTTGAAAAGTCATGCAAGTGCAGATTATCTTCGCTTTCATGAATGAACAAACGACCCAAAATGATATTCAGCAGATTGTATATATTTAAGGTTGATTCATGGTATACCGCCATCTTGGATTGTACAATCGCAGTACAAAATTGGTCTAGTTATATGCTCAATTCTGCAAATTTGGAGACAGATTTGCAATTTATTGGTTTAGTTAGACTGTTTATTAATATAAAGAAAACTAGGTGATCTATTGTACTATAAACAAATATTAAATTTTGTGTTTTTAGAATAAATTTTTCAAATAAGCCATTTAAGGGGAGATAACTCTTTTAGGAAAAAATATATACTGGACTGATAGGGAAATTTTGAATTTTTACTTGTAGCAAGAAAACAAGTTCGGTGACACCATTTTTTCTTATTACTTTCTTAAAACATTTTATAAAACCTATTTTCTCACAATTTATTTCAAAATTCTATCTCATAGATTTCTTTTTATGCACACAAATGTGTTTTTTCATGAACAATCTAACCAAATTTAGGCAATTTTCAACGACTTATAACTTGGAAAATAGCACGGTGACCCATACTTTTTATCATATTTCTGAAAAAAGCATGTAAAATCTTCATTTTGGCAAAGTATAAGAAAACTCTGTCTAAAAAAATATATACTTATGATCAACCTTAAGTGATATGTTAAGAAGATAATATGATAAAATAAATTCTTTGTAGAAATAAGGAGACGTGGTATGATTGCTAATGCGACAACTATGCATAAGTTCAAATGAAGTGGATGTAAGCAATTATGGTGACCAAACGGCCATCAACAATGAGAAAAATTCATACTGTATAGTATTCTATAAAAAAAAACCCGAGGTAAAAGATATGAAACAATTTGTTTCTTTCTATAATTCAAAGTGTAAGTATTGAAAAATTGATATAAAGGAAATTAGTACTCTAATGAAAACATGCCATGTAAATTGGTAGAAAAACAAACGTGATTGTAAAAAATATATTGCAACCCAATTTGTTTTTAAGAATATATATAACAGTTGTATAAAATTAATATAATTTGTTCCAGATATTTGTACACCAATCAAATAGCTACAATACAGACAGGATTGTTTCAAGGCCTATCAGCGCTACAAAGACTGTATGTTTACATTTTTACAAAATATTATTCTTAGGTAAAAAAAAACTGAATATAGAGTCAAGTATTGAACTTGGCAGGGTATATTTATAAGCAAAAATGTCCATAACAGTTTAACATATAAAACCTAGTCAAAGATAATGATGATTTACAAAATAATCATTTAGTTGCACTCTATTTCTGTTACGCTGTTTCTATTTGTACACTGATCCGTGTTTGTTCATGTAAGCCAATACAGTGCAACTATTGCTTTGAGACATCTCAAAGTTTTGTTTCTGTTTAGGTTATTTTAACAATTCTATAGCTAGAAGTTTACATAAGTTCCATCAGTAGCGATTGCAGACCCATACTATAATAAAATAATTAACAAGCCTTTTATCAAATTGAATAATATATTATCATGACTCTTTAAAGGCAATAGTTTGAATTGTCACCCCTTAAAATGATATTCCCTTACGAGATAAGGGTTGAACAATTTGGAGATTCGCTGCATCTACGGGCCACAATTGTTTTACAAAACCAAACTTACAGTAGAAAGACCATTACAATACGATTCACTGTGAAGGGTTTTGCGTTTGTAGTATTTGTATTTTTATCCATCTGATGAGTTAAACCTCTTTCAACTGATTTTTATAGTTCGTTCTTATGTTGTACTGTTACAGAGACCTTCTATAATTCAAACTGACCACACGCACGATACACGCACGCACGATGCACGCACGCACGATACACGCACGGTGAATGCACGATACACGCACGGTGAATGCACGATACACGATACACGCACGATGAGCGATGAGCGTTACACGGAGGATTAACGAAAAATGAATGATGAATGATGAACGCACGATACACGCACGATGCACGATGAATGATGAACACACGATACACGCACGGTGAATGATTCATTGACGAATGAACGATAAGCGCTGAATACACGGTTCTCAAAGCCATTTTATTTGGAATTGCATTTAAAATTGATGTATGATAATGAAAATCTATAAGGGTATACAAATTCTAGATATCTCGCTTTCTGTGTTGATTGGTCGACAGTTTTACTAAACACTCCATGTGTTAAATAAATTAATTGTAGTATAGTATTTCCAATATCAATGAGTGTTGTCAAATTATAAAACTCATCGATTTTATAATTCTACTTAATATAAATAATTTATAAATTGCTACGTTTTAAAGAGTGGCGATTCCAGCCATTTTTAAAAAGAGGGTTCTCAATCCAGGATAAAAGGGGTGGTTTTAACCATATGTCCCCATTCAAATGCATTGACCCCCCCCTTCTTTTTATCTGCCTAAATTTGTAACCTTAACTAATTAATTATCATATGTTTACGTTACGAATTTTAGGAAATATTTGTATGTTTCGAAGTTTAGTATGATGTCCATTATCACTGAACTAAAATTCATTTTTGTTTAGGGACCAGCTGAAAAACGCCTTCGGTGCGGGATTTTCTACCCATTGGTGGCCTTCGACTGTTTTCTGCCTATACGTCTAAACACTGCTAAGGACTTATAATATGCCACTAAGGACTAGAAAGGACGTGTTACTTGTACTCTGTTTTCATACTATGGTAGAGATAGATAGATTTTTATTACATAAATTCCAATTTATAAAGAAAAAGAATCACCATTAAATGAGTAGTTGAACAATATTTGGAACGTGCCGGTTTTTCCTTGATATTGCCGAAAATCAGTGATCCGACTGACACGAGCGAACATACATAACAACTGATTAAACAATCATATTAATCTCTTTTTTTTTTATACTTAAGTTACAATGTTCCTTATATTATCAGAATCGTATGAGTTAATTTAGAGCAAAATATATAATTTGTCAGAAAAATCTGATTCGTACAAATAAATTAGAAATAGCTAAGAAAATGAAATTTACCAAATAATGAGAAAATTTAAACATTTGTAATACCAAATACTTCATAATATACTTCTGAAACGACTTTTCGTCCTGAATATGCATGAAATTTTTGCCACTGGACGTTTAAACAACCACTGAATAATCAATCAATCAAATTTTGCTCTCAGTAAAAATGAATTAAACAATATAAGCCACAATTGTATCCATCACTTGGTGTCTGTTGTTTGTTTGTACAGTAAACATACTGAATCTTTTTATATTCCTTATACAATTTCAAGTATGTAATAAAATTCATACATATTTTCAAACATCCTGGGACTTCAAATTTCTAGGAGGTGAGATTCTCGGGGTTTTACCTGAAACTCTTTGGGAAATGCAATTTTTAATTCCAATTCCAATTCCAAACTGTAAAAGATATCCCAAGGTTTTTTAAAATGCATTTCTAATTTGATAAGGAGATTTGAAAAAAAACGATCTCAAGGGTGGTTGAAATTATTCAGTGCAATCATTTTGTGTCCGCCGTTGTCTTTCATACATATCAATTGGTGTATCCACTGTTTGCTGTTCGTTATCTGTTGTTTATGGCAGTCAGGCCTCGCGATCGGTCTCCAAATATAAGCCCCCACTTAGATAAATTAATGATCATTTATAGGGGGGGGGGGGGGGGGGGGCTTTTTTCTCGGGACAAACATTATTTTCCTTCCTTAAAAACAACTTAACAATTTTCTATATTTTTCATTTAATCATAAACCGATGATTATTAAATGATTTTTAAAAAAATAAAAAAAATATTTTTATTCTAATATATCTAAATATCTGGGTTATTTTCTTATCCAAATAATTATTTGTTCATTTTTTTAAGGAAAAAGTGTTATCAGTTATGGCCCACTCATTTTAGACATGACATTTTGCTTGATACTGTATGAAGATTATTCGTTGCAACTTTTATGAAGAAATTACCGACTTTTTTTTAACTAGATAAATATACAAAAAAATACCGTTTTTTCTTCTTGTATCAATTTCTTTTCACAAAAAATAAATATTAACAAAGAATTGTTACACAAATGTAAAGCCAAATTTTGTAACGAAGATATTCCTAATCTCTTTACCGAAATCCGCATATCTTTATCTTTTGAAACAAAAAAGTTAAGGATGTCTGGTCAAAGGACAAAAATGTCCAAGAAACCGAAATGTTATAAGTAAATGTCGAATAATTCAAACCCATTTGTCTTTTAAATTTAGCACATGAAAATATAATTTTTATTACATATACAAATTGATTTTGTAAAAATTAGCTTGTATATATGTGAACTTTTGTAAAAAAAAAATCACTGTGGTTCTAAAACTGTATCACATGCCCATAATTGTCCTAAAGCTAAATGTCATCGTCAGATTATGAGGGTCTGAATAGGGATTCATTATTTCTGTATTCTATCATTTTAGGCAATTTTTTCTAATCGTTATACCTTTTGTCGATCATTCTTTATTCCATATATTCTAGTACCTCATCATTTTCTTTTCTATATATTTGTCTGGTTATTTTTTGTATTCTTTATTTTTTGGTCAATAATTTTCTATTCTATAAACCCCCATCCACACCCTCATGTATAATGGAAGACGATAAACATTTAAGTATACATACCACCCGTTGTCACTTTCACCTGACATCCAAACAACAAATTGTTATTTTTACCTGGACACGGGACTTATATAATTACGTAATAATAACGGATATAGTAAATTCAGTAGAATATAACATGTATCAACGCACTGGCTTGTTAAATGAATATTGATCTGACAACTGTTTATCATATTTTTAGTTATTTTAAAATTGAGAATGGAAATGATGAATATGTCAAAGAGACAACAACCCGAAAAGAGCAGATGACAGCCGAAGGCCACCATATTTGATAAGGTTTTAGTTTCTAATGAGACAGTAACCATCGTATTTTCAGAAAATCTCCAAACGGATAATGAGAGTTTAGCGACTTTGACTGGCTATACAGGCCAAGCACGGTCGGTCTCTAAAAGATGCCGAATTTAAGAGCCTATATCAAGAGATAGGCTTTACCTAGCTTTAGAACCAAATGTGGCTTCTTTATATTTATACCAAAATTGAGTTCAAGGCAGTATTTTGTCGAAGAGAACAATTACACAAAGTGCAACATGCGAGAAGAGGTTTCATTTCCCTTATTTATTTTTTATTGAAGTGAGTAATCTTTTGAGATTACTTCACGGAAATATATTTTAAATGAAAAGGTGCAACTGGATGCATCCCTAAAAAACAAATTTAAATGTATATATATATATATAATTTAAATTTGTTTGCTATATATATATATATAAAATGATGGATATTCGTCAATCAGACAGCAATCCAACATAAACACGAGTAAGTTACCTGACATCTAGAATAAGAGGTTTAAGCATACGCCGCGCTGGTCAACTTTCTGAGTTGTGGGTAAAATTCAATATACATGTAGGACTGTGAAACGGGAAATATACGAAAGATTTGTTTTTACGTACGATGAAGTGTCATTCCCTCAATACATGCGGGTCCACCGTGAAACTATTCTTATGATTATATAACGGTAAATGATGATCTCATTAGAGGAACAAATTAAGTAAAGATACATATTGAAGCAAGAATAATTTCCATATGCAAAACATCAAATAGGACGATCTCTAAATTAGTACGCGGCAACTTTAACTATTACATTCATGGACAATTACACTAGTAAATGCTTTATATACTGACATTGAAACAAATATACTGCTCATAATAATTGCACGTCTGTAGACTTTAATCTAGGTATCCCGCGTTATATAAACCATCGCAAACCATCGAACAGCTCATCGCACTTCGGCGCAGACCAGCGCACTTCACGTGTGGCCATCTTTATGATCTCCATTGACCTCCGAGTCATACACACATATATATTCCGATTTTCAATTAATGGTTTTTATTATTTTAATTCCCGTAGGTATTGCCCAAAGAAATAGGGTTTATTTAAGGGTTTACACATCTTCATAGCTAAAATATTTTGATACTTATATCACGAACAGATATCTATGACAAACATTTCTTAAATTGTCAGTATATAAATTTAGATTTTTTTTAAGAAACGTAGGTTTCAGCTACAGCAGACTAAATTGGCTTTTGATGGATTGAAGGCTTATGTAAAAATAAGAAAATGTGGTATAATTGCTAGTGAGTCAACTATTCAAGAAAGTTCAAATCAAGAGGAGTGCTAGCAGTTATATCTATACGACCTTCAATAATGAAAAAATACGGGAACTGTAAAGTCGGTTATTAAAGGCCCCGCCCCGACATGAAAAAAATATGAAACAATTCAATTGAGCAAACTTACGGCCTTCTTTATTTCAAAGCTACATGTATCTTGCCACAAAAAAAGCCCAAATACATGTATATAACAGAATTGATGTTACGAAAACCACTGAACTACGTGCTTTTGACTTTGGACAGACACATAAATACACAGAATGTTGTGAATGTGTATAGGCCCTTTATTGGTCATAGCTCTACACTCCTATCTATTTTATACATTCTTTGGCTTTCAAATATTTAGCATTGAGCGTTCCTACTGAAAGTAAAATCCAGAAAAGCGTTATAGATGCATGAAATTTATAAAGTGTTGTTTTGTGAGGGGATCAAAACGTAGGGATCGATGTTAATGTCTGTTTTATATGTGCAATAATATCGGCCTTCTAACTTTAGTGAAACTCTGCAGTTGTTCAGTGACGGATCCAGGGGGAGTGTTCAGGGGGTTGGAACCCCCCTTTTTTTTGGACGATCAATGCATTTGAATGGGGACATATAGTTGGAACCCCCCCCCCCCCTTTTTGCCCTGGTTTGGGAACCCCCCTTTTAAAATGGCTGGATCCGCCCCTGTTGTTTCATGTATTTGATATGCAAATTATCACAAAACTAAAAGGATAAGATGGATGAATTAATAGTTGATCGTTTAACGTCCAGTGGCATATATTATAGATTCATTATTAGGGGGAGTACAATAATTATGATATAATGATGAACATTGGCAATCATACCACAACTTCTTTTTCATAAGAACGTACATGTGTAGATTTTCGTCTTTTACTGTAAACGACAGTGTCCCCGGGAGTCAAAGCCGAAATCAAACTTGTGTAAATTTCTGAAAACATACATTTCATTATTTAACCCAAATGTAAAGCAAAACAAATAATACCGTTTTGAGCTATAAAACCAAGGCAACCCTTTATACTAGTCAAAAGTTGCTGGATCGTGATAGATGCATACGAAACTTCAATTAATTGTTTGTATTTTTCAATATTTTATATCCGATAAAGATGAACACAAAATCTATCGGATAAAAACTACCGATTTTTCTATAAGATAAAATTTATCCTTATTGGAGTCAAATTTTTCATATGGATTCATAAAGGACAAAAAAAAGTCCTCAGTAACGGAACAAAAAATACCCTCCATGGTAAAATAATCCGTCATTCTTTAATACAAAGTACTATTGTGAATTAGTTTTTCGGATATTAATCTTTTAGACATACATTAAAAACGGTGTCCTTGATATGCAACCATGAACACAATGAAAAGTGAATCTGTGAAAGTGTTCCATGTTTATTCCATTTAAATAAAGACTTGTTATGATAATACAATATATTTAACTATTTTATCAAAAAATTTAAATAAAAAAGAATATCTTAAACTCGTAAACACAATTTCAAGTTTAAAAAGTTCCTCAATTTAAAATCCTTCTTAAGGAATACGGGATATATTTGCGTGATCTTATACTTGTTTAATTAAAAAAATGCCTTCAAATACATATGTTTATTTGTATTAAATTTTCCACAAAACATATTTAGCTTATTTTAAATGAAAATAAAGAACAGAGAATAAAAACACTGTTGAAGAGAAAATACATATTCGTGTTAAATTCGCCTCAGTTTAATTAGTTAATTCATGTTTGACATCTAAAATCTTAATCCGCAATCCACATTTACCCGACAATCTTGTATATTGTATTTTCTCAATGGAATAACCTTACGTGCACGTGACCATCAGAAACGAAGACAAAAATTATATTTGTAATGGTATTTACCAAAACTTAAATGTTTGAATATTTAGTAGAATATGAATTTGCCAAATAAGCGAAGAATTATAATCTTGCATTGTTCAACATTGGAGAAATGAGTCAAGTTTAACATTAATCATGTTAATACTGATTCAATATTTTATTATAGTCTCACCACATACAAACATAAAATGAGAATCACAGAAATAAACATAAAACATTAAAACATTTGCATTGTATGTACCAATCTTAAAAAGAATAATGAGAGACTTTTAAGACACAATATATTTACTCATTTACATTTAAAATTTACAGTGTCCACCTGTACTATATGAAGATAAAACATTTTTTCTTTGAGAACTAGGAAATAAAATGCCGTTTCTTTTCAATGAAATATTGTTGATGTTTTTGGCAACTATAGCAGCAACATTGCCGTTATTAAATAAAAATATAAATGTTTCGCTATCTGATAATTAAAGGTTAAAATGTTCATTAAAATGTTTAGCTTAATGTATCATAATTTGTCTTAAATCTACATATAATGGGCATTTTAAAATGACATGAAGTTCATCTTTAATAGTAGAGCTACAACACATGTCATCTCGTGGACTTCTTTTCTTTCATACTTTCCAGTTTCTATTTTTAGTGGAGCTACCCCACATCTAAATTTTGCAAAAGCACTGTTGTTTTTAATTGGCGGAATATTTTTTAACAAATAACAGTTGGCCAACAGTATATTTTTAAGCCCATTTCGCTCAGTTGAATAGAAATTCCAATTTTAACTGTTCTGTCGTAGAAATGTCATCATTTTATTGTTTGTACGTAGAACATGTATCATTATATTAAAATGTGTCAGTCCCAGCCAAGATTCACTGAATAACCACGAAATGTTTACAGATGATAAATAAATTTTAAACAAAAATTCATGAATCTGTATGAACGTTATGTACGATGAAGTTAATTAAGTGTTCACAAGAAAGTAAGTATGAATGTAAATTTTATTTAAAGTCGGAACATATATATACACTTTAACCGTGAGATAAAATATAAGCTTTGATGAGCTCTGTAACCGACTATCATATAAAAACCGCAATGAATGAACGTTACCCGATTAGAGATGAACGTTTGACAAATTCACGTTATCTGATGTACACAGTTATACACGATTGACGAACGCACGATACACGGTTAAGAATGAATGATTGATGAACGCACGATACACGCACGATACACGCACCATACACGATTAAGAATACACGATGAACGCACGGAATAATGGTCAGTTTGAATTTTAGAAGGTCATAATGTGTAAATATAAGTGTTTGGTTATCTATTATTGTTTGCCTAACGTGTGATTACTTGCATTATGGTTACAAAGAAATGTATATCGGATAATTAATAAAATTACCTTGAATGAATAAAAAAACTAAATGAAGAATCACTTACCATCTTTTGTAAGTAATGTATGTCGCAGTCGCTTGGAGCCGGAATCAATGAATTATATGGTTTGTGCCAGCTGCATTCATAGTCAAGACGAATATGAAGTATGCACACTAGATATAATGTCTTAAATCTAGTAGACATATTTATTGTACTTACTTGTACATACAAGACATGAAACATTTCTGCAATACCCTTTCAATTTTAGTCACAATGTTTACCACATAAAATCTAAATCTCAAATAGATGAAAGGAAAACAATGGACATGTGTGTATGTGATCGTGTTGTTTATTTTGTTAGACGTTTATAAATGATATGGGTTAAATAAAAACATTAAAGGATTTTTCACAATTTTTTTCAGATATTTGTCCGGAAACTTTTTGACAATTGTCAATAATGGCTCTTTTGAAAACCTCAATAGCTTAAGATATCTGTAAGTACAACTATAAATGAATGAGAGCAATGGTTTAATAATTGGTATTGATATCTCAGGTGCTGAATGTGTGTATATTTGAAGTCTAATTCACAATATACATGCATTTGATTTTTTTTTATTTGCACACGGCAGGTATAAATAATTAAGTATACAAAAAAGAAAGGCAAAATATATCATAGGGCCATTCAAATTCATAAGTCGAAAATAAACTGACAAAGCTTTGGGCTAAAAAAGAAATAAAAACCAACAGACAAACAACAGTACAAAAACACAACATAGAAAACTATAGACTGAGCAACACGAACCCCACCAAAAAATAGGAGTGATCTTAGGTGCTCAAAATGGTAAGCAGGTCCTGCTCCACATGTGATACCCTTTATGTTAGTACAAAACCCGTAATAAGTCTAATTCGGTAGGTCACATTCGGGGAAAAGGGGACGGGAGTGTAATTACGACATCTGGAACATATCCGATATTTTCTGTGAAATTGATATTTAATAACTGGTGATGGTGTCCGTAAAATTTATGTAGGGATGATTTCAACTTCACCACTGGCAACTCTTAGTCTAAAAGCTTCACTGTGAGCAGCTCCTGCATATGGAGTATCTATCTTCAGAGCTTGTGTATTCTATCATGATTTCCTAGGAATAAGGTGGCCGCTTACAAAGAAACTACAGAACCTATGATTCAAAAAGGTAAACATGGTGAAGCTGAAGTAATACCACGGATAAAAGTAAACTGTCGTCACCGGAATCTCGTTCCTTTTTCCACAATTGTGACACCACAGAGAGAGTTTTATCACAACTATGTACTTGTTATATACCATGCGTACCGGAGTGCCTAAGATTAACCTCTGCTTTTTTATTGTGATGATCATGTGGTTCAGGCTTTATTTTTTCTAGTATTATTTTTATTGACTATATTGTGTTTTTTTGTCGTGTTTGCTTATTGTACTATACAAACTGCAGCTTTGGTGGATTTTGCTCAATGGATTCCTTTAGAATGTGTCTTTTTATATTTCCAGCCTTTTTTATATAGAAATATAATTATATTTCTGTTTCAGACAATTGAACAACAACCGAATAACTACAATACAACAAGGATCGTTTCAAGACCTATCAGCGCTCATCGAGCTGTATGTATACAATGTTAAAATATTTAATTCAGAAGTAATAGAAAACATAACCAAGAGTCAATTTAACCCTTGCTGACCCAGAAGACATTGTTAATATCTTTTAGCAATACAACTATAAGAAAATGTGGTATGATTGAGAATGAGACAACTCTACAACAGATACCCAATGACATAGATGTTATCAACTATAGGTCATTGTACGGCTTTTTGCAATAATCAAAACCAACACAAAACACACCATAGAAAACTAAAGACTGAGCAACACCATTAACTGGAGGTGATCTCAGGTGCTCTGGAAATAAAAGCAGATCCTGTTCCATATGTAGCCCATGCTAGTACAAACCCGGTAATCATCTTGATTATCGTAATGTTTTGCTTTCAACCGAGCATCACTGTCAATTTCTATGAAAAATGTAAAACAAACTCAAGCGTGAAAATGAACGGCCTGATTCATGTACAAATTAATATACAAAAAACAGATATACAAAAACAAACTAAAATTACAGGTTCATAACTTCAGAAAATTAATACAAAAAATAGGGGTAAATCTTGTTAACCGGCGAAAAAAAAACCAAAACAATTGTGATTTACAGCGGATGGAGAGTTGTCTCATTGGCACTCATACCACATCTTCTTATATCTATAGACGAGTACCTATCAATTACAGCCACCCAACTTTTGACAGACACATGAAGATATGACGGGTGTTCAACCCTTCCCCCTAACATTGGCAGTGGTGTAACAGCACAATATAAGTACAAACTATAAAAAGCAGTAGAAAAGGGCTTATCTCATGAAATCGACACAAAGCACAATAACAGCTAATGAAATCACTAACGATAACGTAAAGACCCGATCGTACTCGCAGTAACTGAAAGCTAGTTCAATCCAATAAAAACTTATAAATATTTGTGTTTATATGACATGAATATCAATCAATACACACCCATCATACAATGTAATTAATGTAAATTTATAGTCAGAGAAAAAATTACTTGTACTATTCCAAGCTGTAAGTATCGACAGAATAAAGGACATTGTTCTATTACATAACAAACTGTTTATAAAAGTTAATGATCTCATTTCATTTGACTCGGTGGGATATATAAGTTGATAATTATGCAACAATAGACAGTAAATTCTACATAATTATGCAACAATAGACAGTAAATTCTACACTGCGTACACTCACTCTAGGATTGTTTTAAATTATATGCAAAAATTTAGTTTTTCCACGTTGGTTCTACTTTTTGTGTTCCTTTTGAAAACTATTATGAGCAGTTAAACATGTGGAGCAAGATCTGCCTACCCTGCCGGACATCTCAGATCACATTATGGTGGGGTTCGTGTCTTGTGTACTTTTATTTGTCTGTTTGTCTTTTTGTCTTTTTTATTCATGGCGCTGTTTATTGTTGATCTATTAGTTTGAATGTCCTTCTGACATATTTCGTCCCTCTTTTATAATGGACATGGTAGTAACATCCCTCCACTGTTGGTAATGGCAACGAAGCAACATTCCTCATATGTTTTGTTTTTCAATTTTCCAAAATATCTTCCCGTCTGAAAATTTAGAGATTATAAACGGGTAATACACTTACGTTATGTTTATAACAGCAGTCTAGATCCCCCTGTGTATTCAGAAAGAGGTACAACTTGCATGCCGTTACGTTCACAGTATATGTTAATAGATATAGGAAGATGTGGTATGAGTGCCAATGAGACAACTCTCAATCCAAGTCACAATTATAAAAGTAAACCATTATAGGTCAAGGTACGGTCTTCAACACGGAGCCTTGGCTCACACCGAACAGCAAGCTATAAAGAGCTCCAAAAAATACTAGTGTACAACCAGTCAAACGGGAAAACCAACGGTTTAATCTATATAAAAAACGAGAAACGAGAAACACTTATGAACCACATAAACAAACGACAACTACTGAACATCAGATTCCTGACTTAGGACAGGTGTAAACAATTGCAGCGGCATTAAATGTACGTCTAGCACATAGTGATGATTTTTATGCAGCATGTCTTTTTAATACTGTTATACATCTTTTTATTCTGATACTTATGAATCTGGCGTTTTTATCATTGAGTGATTTTTATATTTGTTAGATAGTGTGAGATTGGAAATTGGATACACACTTAAACCTGATGTTTACCTCATCATCATGTTTATGGTGTACGCATTTATCAACAGTCTAAAATAAGCCAAAAAGCACCAAGTTCAATAACATCGGAATTGATAACAACACGAGAAACATGTACAAAACATTATGTAATACAACACAAAAAGACTCTTAAAAACTTTAAGTTTTGATTTATATACGTGAAAAAAAAAATCACAAAAATACTGATCTGCGAGAAAAAAATCAAAAAGGAAAGTTTCCTAATCCAATGGCAAAATCAAAATCTCAAACGCATCACACGAATGGATAACAATTGTCATATTCCTGACTTGGCACAGGCGTTTTCCTATGTAGAAAATGGTGAATGAAACCTGGTTTTATAGCTAGCTAAACCTCTCTCTTGTATGACAGTCGCATAAAATTCCATTATATTTACAACGATGTGTGAACAAAACAAACAGACATAATAGGTATAAATGTCAAAAATATGGGTACCGTGTGAATTTCTGTGGGTCATGTCGAATGAAGTTGACATAAATTTAATATGAAACAAGTACCTGTAATTTACACAGGTTGAATACATGGCAGTCTCCACACAACATAGGAATTAGCAAAAACTAGTGAAAACTTTAGTATGCAATATCTTGATGTTGTTTATGTTTTGTTATTTAGAGAACCGGGTGCTAATAATAAATGTCTGATTGTTTCAGTTCGATATTTCACTATTTTTTGTATACAACTAAAAATTATATAAATTATCACATATGCATATTTTGAATTTAAGTTTAAGTATAAGTTTAACGGCACGGCATCGATTACAAGGGGTCGTAATCTTAATGACTCCAAACGGAGCAATAGTTAAACGCACACGGTCACCAGTGTACTGAACGAGTACTACTCAACTGAAAAAAACTCTTTACTGTTTAAGTATTAAAATAGTTCCTTTTGTAAGAAGACTACAAGTAATCCTAAAATATTTACGTCAGTAATACAGAACAACTATCATTTTTTTACAGAAAGTTGGAGAACAATCAAATTACTACAATACCACGAGGAACGTTTGAAGTGATGCCAGCGCTCAACTACTTGTATGTTAACATTTTTTCAGTATTTTATTCGGATGTAAAAGGAATCATGACCTTAAGTCAATTAAACTATGTTTCGTCATCTTTCTAATTTAAAGCGTGATCATTATTCAAGTGAAATCATTAGTAGTAGATATTCAGAAAGTCCTTACGACCACGAATAAATGTTAGTGTAAAAGAGTTTTGGTAAAAAGTAGAATAAGTAATTAATATTTTCTTATGAAATTTTACTCTAAATTCTATCATCTTACCCTTTGACTCGCTAATTTGAATGCATATTGATATCCAAGAGTTAATCACAATTATTTTTTTTCAGAGATTTGAGAGGAAACAATTTGATATTTGTCAAGAATGACACATTTGAACATAACATTAATTTAAAAAATCTGTAAGTATACACTCAATATCGAATCAATAATCAGTGATTGTTTGCAGTATCAGATAATTGCATTATCCTCCTTTTTGTATTGTCTTTAATTTTGGTAGTAGAAGGGTGTGAGATTTTATTTTTCAACGTTTATATGCTATAACAGCAAAACAAATTTTAATCTTGTCATTCACATCATTATTCTATTTTTCGAAAATCGTTATAAAAAATCACTAAATATTGTATAGATATTCAATTGTATCGTACAACAGATTTAAATTTTCATTTGTTTTTTGCGCACTGATATTATTTACAAATATATAATATCCTTTTTTTTGTGTGCTGGCGATATTATCAAACATTTCTTCGGACAAATGGAAAAGATTTTGTCAAAACAAATTAGGATTCCTTCTTCTATTTTTATGGCATAACAACTGCAAATAATCACGACAGTGTTTTATATCCGTAACCTGGACGTTTTTTATACGTATACGCGACTAAGAATGTACTACTGAGATAAATTCTATGTAGGTTTATATCTACACCTATACGAAGAATCTATTTTGTTTTAAATGTGAACTATACCTACTGGTACGTTCTTGTTTGCGCGGGCTGGATTTGGTGGTGTTACATCTTTCAACATGTTCAAATGAAATGTGTCAAAGAGACAATAATCCGACCAAAGAGCAAGAAACAGCAGCAGGGTCTTCAACACAGCAAGAAATTCTCGCACACAGAGGTCCCTAAACAAAAAATGTGTACTAGTTCAATGGGAATGAACGTCACATCAAACTACAAAACATAGACAAATGAACTTAAATAAAAACAAAACATACGTACTTTGACCTATAATGGTTTACTTTTATAAATTTTGACTTTGATGGAGGGTTGTCTCATTGGCAATCATACCACATCTTATATCTATATACAAGACTATCAAAGGCCAGTGGCTCCTGACTTGGGACAGGCGTAAAAATGCAGTGGCGTTAAACATGTTTTGTAAGATCTCAATTCTCCTCCTACACCTCTAGCCAATGTAGAATAAACAAACACACAGCAATACGCATAGTAAAACTCAGTTTAAAAGAAGTTCGAGTCCGATGTCAGAATAGGTAACAAACGAAACTAAGCAAAATGACAATGATACATAAATTAACAAGGGACTACTAGCAGTTACTGACATGCAAGCTCCAGACCTCAGTTAAACTGGTTGAGAGATTACAAATGTATGTGTTCAAGATATGAAAATCAAGTACAACCCCTCTCGTTAGGGGTTTAGCATCATACCATCGTACAATATATGACGAGAACATAACCCACATCATGACAACAGTAGGTTCTGGAATAAATGTGTTTATTTCCGATGCAAAGAGTCTATCCTAATAATTTTTGAAAAGAATTCCGCTCATGTCGGTGCTAGGGGACGTTTTAAGCTTGCATTGTGGTTAGAGATTTTTTTCTCCGTGTTGACGGTCTCATTTTGACTTTTAGATGAAGAACAGCAATACAAGAAATGTTCCTTTGCTTTTTTATGTTTTTTTGCTGTGCATAAACGATGTTAGATTATGGATGGATACTCCATATCCCATGTTTTTCGATTAAGATTTTTTTGCATAAGTTGATTGGAAATGCATTCATTGCATTACAACATATCAAGTCGGTTTATTAGATAAATAGCAGCATACTATTTCATTTTCGAATGAATGAGAACGTGCCTGTCCTTACTCATAATTTTTTTCATCTACTATAAAGTGCAAATATTCTGTCAGTTTTAAAATTTTACTGCGGCTATAGGATATCAACCAGATATCATTCGCGTGTTAATGACTGTATATAACAATGCAATCATGGTCAACGATGCATTTATAAATCTAAATTCACACTTAGTTATATAGTGATTGCAAATATAACATAACACGTTTGATTTTACATTATCAGTCATCTGAATTTTATCTGTATATATTTTTACAAAATAGGACATATTCAAACATTTGTCGAACTTATTGCTAAGTATATATAACACGTTTTTTATTTAAATTGCTAGCAAAAAGCTTAATTCTAGGCACATCACGATTAATTCGCATAGGGATTTGCGAAAAAAAATTTTGTAAAGATATGTAGTAAAACAGATAAAATCATACTATATCAACGTATATCTATAAAATAAAAATGTACAAATTGAATGTAATCATTTTTGTTCAAATATGCAAAATAAAGACAACATTAGTATACCGCTGTTCAAAAGACTTAAATCGATTGAGCAAAAACAAATCGGGGTTACAATGATCCAAAAATAAACAGCAAACCTCGCTATAATTACATAAATAACCACCATAAGATAAAACGGAAAAAAAAGAACCGAAACAACAATTCAGAATTGGAACCTAAACTTACAAGTCTCTACCTTTAACTTGTTTCATCAACTCATTCATCTTAACCTTGCTAACATCGCGGCTACTAACTTGTACTATATGATTGCCTTTTATGTATATATAAAGGTACAAGCTTTGTGGGACCTTTTTACCGATGTATATCATATGTATTTATGTATAAAACATAAACATCTAAATTGGTAGCTGAGAGGTTTCGTCGATGTGTTGATGTCTGTCACACATAAGAGATTTCAAGGAGGGTGTCGAATCCCAGTGAAGGCATATAAAAATTACAAAAAGAAAGATAAGCTTTTAAGTTAATTCCATCAGTGAACAGAAATCAGTAAATTAGCCAATTCAAACTTTATGAAATTAGGCAAACAAAGAAAACAATTGATATTACTTGGTGAGTCCATTTAAGTGACTGATTTATGAAGCGTTGATTCTAGAAGACGAATACACAGTAAATGAAACATTGTCTTTCTCTTATCGTTATCTTCTTGCAGATGTTTGTTTTTAAATTAATTCGTATACTTCATATGATTCAAATTCAAACAGGTATCTCGATTTAGTATGTGATTGTAATGTTCCCTTTTGGGCCTGGCTTAAATCAATATCGTTCGACGACGAGATAGTAACCTGTTTGGATCAGCATAATATTCGACTGTCAAGTCTTAATGCAAGCGATTTTGATAATTGCACCTGTAAGTATTTTCTATCATAGTATACAACTATTGGGAAAAATGATAATAGCATGTAATATATACGTTAAAAGTCCTTGTTTAATATACTCAAGTGAATACGTATCGCTGATCGGAACATTCTATGGAACAAAAGCGTATTAAGTACAGTCATAAATGCCGGAATATAAGATTTATGTAGATGTATATGGTAATTAAACACCATGATGTTTACAATTTATATGATGTACAGACAGTATGACTGTTTCAGATTATACTATTTCATGTACTATGAAAAATGTTTTTGATTACATCTGATTATTCTTCGTTTTGAAAAAAAGAAAAATTAGTTGCATATTGATATATGTATGCATAATTTGTTTTAAACATTTGACAGAAGACATTCATTAAGACGATGGTTAATTTAATTTCAATGTTTGTTTAGGAGGCTTAGAAAAATTTTCAGAGTGTATATGCGATATAGATATATACAATAAAATTAAACTCGTATAGAGAAATATAAATTAAATTTCACAAAAACATGAAAAAACTCAGAACCCACTTTATGTCTGTTTTGTTCACGCATCGTTGACAATATATAATGGAATTTGATGCGACTGTCATACAAGTAAGAGGTTTAGCGCTATAAAACCAGTTTCAATCCACCATTTTCTACATTTGAAAATGCCTGTACCAAGTCAGAAATATGATAGTTGTTGTCCAGTCGTTTGATGTGATTTATCATTTGATTTTGCCATTTGATTAGAGACTTTCTGTTTTGAATTTCCCCGGAGTTCAGTATTTTTGTGATTTTACTTTTTTTATACGTCTATTCACTGTAGTGTTAATTTGAAGGCAAAAAAAAAAGCATCTTTCTAATTGGTACTCCATTCAAATGTCAAAGTATCGTTTTAAAATTATCAATGCTGAAAAAAACACACACAAACACGGAATAGTCATAACACTTTTCTTCTCTGATCACAGACACTTTCTGTTATCCTGACTATTGTTCAAATGGTGGATCTTGTAGTCAAGACAGTTATGGTGACTTAGTATGTTCGTGCGTTGGTGAATGGATCGGTGCTACCTGTACAAGTAAGAGGGTGATACATATGGGTGTTTTTTACACATGATATATACAGTATTCTATGTAGGACCCTTTATATCATGTTTCTTTACCATACACTATAAAACTCGGAGGAACTTCTTTTATAATTCGCTCACTTTAAAACAAAAACTAAGTAAATTTGAACTCACTAAGCATATTTTCAAAACATATTCAAAAATAGTTGATAGTATAATTTGTATTAAAATATCCAAATATAAAGTGATTTAAAAAAAAAAACAATTACGATTCTTACGCATATACAAAAACAATCGTGCTATTATTCTTTAGAGATATCTAGTTGATTCTTTTAAATTGACATATATGAATATTTTTTTTATCCTCTAATAATTTAATTTTGGATGTAACGCGTCTACTGATTGGCTGACAGTGTTTTGTTTATTAGCTGAAAGACATAATTTAGCCATGTGACTTTAACGTCATCAACGTTTTTTCATTATTTACTCCGGTTTACAATTCAATTTGGAATTAAATTATAAGGAATGACTGTAATATTTTTTCTGTCTATTCGAAATAACATCAAACATGTTGTGCACATTTTATTCAGTGATCACCACATTTTTGATATTATTTCTTCATAGACAGAAAAAAAATTACAGTCAATTTTTAAATGTGTGATGACTCGATTTAATGTTAACTTTTTTCTGTGTATACGTTAAACATACATTACGAGAAGAGACCTCAAACAAAATGTCGATGTAATAATAAATAATCAATGGACAAGAAAAAATTCTCATTGGAATCTAGTTGTTTATCGTGCTTTTATCGTTTAAATCCAATTCTCTTCAAAATGTTGAATAGATTTTACATGTTGTGACTCAAATATGGTAAACTTAGGGTTAGCCCTCTTGCAGGACTAAATAATTCCATATGATTATATAATGTATTCTGCATTCAAATCAGGAAGGGGGTCTTGCGTACAGGGCCTTATTTTTTGGTGTCCAAAATTAAGTATTTTAAGACAAGATGATTTTATCCTAATAATTTTCGTTAAGTATTATAAAAATGTTTAAAGTATAATACCTTTGAAATATAATGAATGTTTACAGAGATTGTATAGTCTAAAGACCGTCAAAATTCCAATTCGTTTACATAAAAAGAACAGCATTTGCATATTTCCATCCATATTTTATTATTTGCGGATATTGAGCTCATGCAAGTATCACAAGTAGACAAGCATTGTTGTGAATTATAAAGTTAGCACTTGCATTTGCTCTTTCGAAAAACAAAACATAAAATAAATAAAATATTTGACTGCATAATCGATATTTGATATTTTAATCTTGTAGAGTAATGGTTCCTTGTAAAATTGATTTTCAAATTTGTATGTCTTTTCATATTTTTGATTGCCTTATATTATATTTTTTTTTTAATTTTTGGTTTTGTTTTGCATGCCATCTATCATGCATGAAAAATACAACTTTATTTGCATATTGAAATGTTACAAAAAAATTTGTATTCTCTAATCACAGACAATTCCTGTCTTCCCGACTATTGTTCGAATGGTGGATCTTGTAGTAGAGACAGTTATGGTGATTTAATATGCTATTGCCTGGATGGCTGGACCGGTGCTAAATGTACAAGTAAGAAGACAGATCAAAATGCATGTGTTTAAAAAATTTATTCAGCATACTTTGGTGAACCTTATGCCATGTTTTCATGTCCTGGATTATCAAAACCAAAACAAAAATGTCGTCTCTATTACGCTCATATAAAAACGATAATTCGGTGAACATGAATAAAAAAAATAACTGAGAACGCGTTTTAAAACATTTGCACACATGTTTCAATATAATTGGTTATTGCAGTACTTAAGGATGCATAACTAAGTAAACTCAAACTAAAAACCAAATAAGATTCTATCGCATACAAAACAACCATCGCGCTGTAAATTTCTCGGGGACGTTTTTTTTTTTTTTTTTGTATACATCAATATCGTTTTGATCATTTAATGTTTGATGAATTAATTGACTGTACAATTCGTTCTGGTAAGAAATAAAATACTAGACCAAACGCCAAATATCGACGAAAACAATCTGTCGTTGAGGACAGTTAGGTTTGCAAATCGTATTCATATTGTGTATGGAACGATTTGACATTTGTAGTTAAAACAAAAACATGATTAACATTTATTTATGGACTATTTTTACCAGGAATGGGAAGGAACGCACAGGGTACTTTTCAGCCTACAAACATTAACTAATACAAAACTACACAATTTTAGCATAAGATAATAATCATGACATGTATGAGCGAAGATTAATTTGTAAAATCTTTGAAATGTAATGAATATTTACAGAGGGTTATAGTCTAAAGATGGCAAAATTCCAATTGTTTTATGTCTAGGGGCTCAATTAACATATTTTCACACATGTTCGTTAATGTATACAAAATGTGTTCAAAATCTTTAGTTTTCACAAAAACGCGTAAATCGGGATTTTTCGTGACGCCCCTAGTTTTCAATTTTGACACATCTCAACTTTAAAACACACAGCAATTGAAATAGTTAAATAATTGTCTAAATATTAGTTAAAAGTCAATTCTTTATTGCATTCAGACTACTAGTAATTGAATTAAGTACAACAATTTAAATGAACAAACATCTTTCTAGGAATATTGGGATACGTAGTTGGAAATCAAAGAAATACTTTGCAATACAATTGTTAAATCACTTATATTGTTATTTAACACTTATGAATATCTTAAACAGAACTTTAACTTTGAATGCTATTTTATGACTGATTGTAGATTCACATGGCGGATGATGCATGTATAACAAACTAAGCTTAACGTGTCCACGCCCTAGCCTCGTTTCGTTTAAAGTTTATGTCGTTCCCTTGGTGTGTGTTTGTTACCTGAATTTCTTTTTTTTCATCGGTATATGATAATTTCACATCTGTATTGTATTATCGCCTTGATCATTTTTAAATTTGTATGTCTTTTCATATTTTTCATGACTTATAACATGTATGTAAACATTTGTTGTGGATATTAAAAAAGTTGTTTTCTAATCACAGACAAATCCTGTCATCCCGTCTATTGTTCAAATGGTGGATCATGTAGTCGAGACCGTTATGGCGATTTAGTATGCTCGTGCGTTGCTGGCTGGACCGGTGATAATTGTACAGGTAAGAGGGGGGATATACATGTATTTGTTCATTGGATGTATACCTGTATGATACATACTTTTTATGATCTTTAGGTAGCACTCCATAGTTAGGTGTGTAATTTCGCATTTTGGCCCCTGTGGATTTTTCAAATATGAGAGCTAGTGTAGAACAAAATTCATTTTCGGATAGCTGAAGATTAAAATAGCCTTCATAGTGGGTTTACAGGAACATCAAGATTATGTAATAATGTATGTACTATGAGCTGTTTTCTGTATGACAGTCCGTATTTTCATACCCCAAAAATGTGACAAACTTGAGGTTTTGCAATTTGATGAAACATGTTTTTAAATGACTTTTTGTCGCGTTTCAACATCAAATGCTTACCTTCTTAAAATCTTTAATACTGAACAAATTTTAAAAACTAAGGTACCATTTTAATCGTTACAGCTAGTTGAACACAGGAAATGTATTTGAATTTGAGGCAGGAAAAAAATTCAAATTAAGGTAGCACTCCACAGTTAGGTGCGTTGTTTCGCATTTAGGCCCCTGTGGATTTTACAAATATGAGAGCTAGTGTAGAATAAAATTCATTTTTGGATAGCTGAAGATTAAACTAGCCTTTATAGTGAGTTTATGGGAACATCGAGATAATGTAATGTATGTGATATGGGCTGTTGTCTGTAGGACAATCCGTATTTTCATATCCATACCAAACATTGCTCCGGCAATTATTGTAATGTTTTTTTCTAACTTTTTGTCAAACGAACTTTGCGATTAAATTTTACAAAAAAAATGAGGCGGAAGACACAAATTTTTATTTGATCATTAATTTTTTGGTAGATTAATGTCAACAGTTTTTGAAAAGGTATCACTCAAAGGCATTGAAATTCTAGTTTGCACTAAATTTTGGGGGATTATGGGACATTTTTACCCCCCTTTTTGCAATATTTTATGGTAAATAAATGCAGAATGTTGCCATGGATACACAAAAAAAAGAATTTTAAAAATCAAATTTATGGAAGATACCGATTACATACATATGCACATGTATAACACAAACAGTTAGGTTAATGTATTAGAAAGCCTAGAATAGAAGATGATAAAACATTTTGTGGTTCAATTTTAATTTATTTTTCTAACTGTGGAGTGCTACCTTATACCATGTTTATATTTCATGGATAATTAAACCCGGAGGAAAATTTCTTTTCTACTACGCTCATGTAAAATTAATAACTTTAAATTTACATATATAAAATTATATCATTCCCTTCATTTATGTTCAAAGAAGCAATTCCATTACAATAACAAAAAGTACTTTTCCTTCTACAAAGAAAAAACACCAAATATCGATGTATAAATCATTGATCGCTCGGTGAGGGGTATTTTCATTTCAAGCGATTATAAAATTTTTGTGACAAAAGCAAACTGTATGTTAGGATTTTCTTGTCGAAGTTTAAAATGTACTCTACATCTCAGTTCTGGTAATCCAGGAATTCGACAACGTTGTTGTATTCGAATTATCATCCTCGTTTGGTATAAGGAAGGGAAAGTGCGTAAAAGGATCACTTTCACTGTCCATAAGAGACCAAATAACACAGAAATGAACAACTGTATGTCAACGAACTTTAAAGACCACGACATAACAACTGTAAAACAATTCAAACGAGCAAACTAACGGCCTAATTTCTGTACAACATAATGAACGAAAAAATATGATATATATCAACAAAGGGTATTAACTAAATTACAGGCTCTTGACTTGGGACAGTCACATACAGAATGGGGCAGATTTAAATATGTTTGAAGTCGCGCCAACCTTCCCCTTACCAAGGACAGTGGTGTAACAGCACAACATAAGAACAAACTGTAAAAATCATTTAACTGGGTTTACCTTATAAGTTCGATACAAAGCAGAAATACATCTAACAAAAACACAGACTGGGCGGGTTAGGGTATTTATACATCCAAATAACAAAAATTTATCTGAGAGTACTTGCAGTTACTGATACTAGTAGCTAGTTCAAAGCCAATAACAACTACCAACACCGGTTGTAATTAAGATGATAAAAAACTCTAGTACCTAGAGACTTTACTTCAAGGCCATCATGCATTATTAAATTGATACGGAATAATTATCAACAAAGTCTTGGTATCTTCCGATTAATTATTTTTAAGAAAAAGGACAAAACGTTCTCTGACATAACCCTCGTTCTTCAACATTCTGCTCAGACACCGATGACGTTTTTCTCAATTTGAGGTAGATGCTATATAACAGTTAACGATTAATGAGTTCTTTATGGAAAGCTTTATTGATTGACCAATACCAAATGTTTGTGCCTTAACTCAGCAACGACATGTGCCACAGCCTTAGTGTTTAGATTCCAGAATAGTTATTCAATTTAAATGTTTACTTATAGTGTCAAATTTCAGATTGCAACACTTTGAATGAGTGAAAATTCATATGGTGGGTGATGCATATATAATTGAATAAGTTAACCCTTTCGAAGTATTGGGCTCGTTCCTTTGAAATTCATGTAATTACCTCGGTTTGTGTTTTTTACCTTGATTTATCTCTGTTTTCCATTTGTGGTATTTTAACATCAGTATTGTAGGGTTGCCTTGTCTAAATATAAATTGATTTTACTTTAGTCAATTTTCATATTTGTGCATGTCTTACAATGTATTTACATTTAAACTTTATTTTGCATATTCAAAAGCTTTACTAAAGTTATGTTCTCTTATCAAAGAAAATTCCTGTCATCCCGGCTATTGCTCAAATGGTGGATCTTGTAGTCGAGACAGCAATGGTGATTTAGTATGCTCGTGCATTGATGGCTGGACTGGTGCTAATTGTACAGGTAAGAGGGGAGATAAACATGTATTTGTCACACTGTATTTAATAATTTCACACATTTAAAGACCCTTGTTTCTATTCCATGTACTATCCAACTTGGAGGAGAAACTCATCTCTTCTATGGTCATATATAAACAATGATGAACTCGGTAAACTAGAATCGAAAATATAACTAAAGATGGTTCGAAAACACACCAAGAATACACATGGATGTAGTCCAAACCTGTACAGTAAGTTGAAAACCAGTAATTTGCATTAGGTTTTAACACTGCTCTAAATGGTCCTAGGACCGAAATCAATTTAACTAAAAAAACAGACTTAATCTGATGTGATCTGGGGCCCTTTATAGCTTGCGGCTCGGTGTGAGCCAATGCTCCGTGTTGAAGGCCGTACCTTGACCTATAATGGTTTACTTTTATACATTGTTACTTGGATGGAGAGTTGTCTCATTGGCACTCATACTACATCTTCCTATATCTATTGGTCGTAGGACAGTGCTTTTGATTTCCGAAGATAACATTACATAAGTCTGCCTACTGAAGTTAATATGGTAACCAGTTCTGCAATCAGTTAACTATGACCTTGACCACTCCAAATGGACTAGAATTATTCTTAAGTTAGATTTTGGCATGTCTGTTCAACTCTTACAGAAAACAAAGGATATGGGGTATCCATCCATGAAACAAAATCAGTACATGTAAAGAAAATACAAAAAAAAGCAGAGGGACAGCGCTTTCATTGCAGATCTTCATCTTAAAGTCACAGTGCGGACTTCCACTAAGTTAACCTGTAATCAGAACCGTTTTACATCGATATATAACATATTGTAAAATGTCTTTGTTTCTCGATATAATAATAGGGTAAGCCCATGATTTGATCTTATACTACAATCACCGTGATCTGCTTTTGGGCAAATCCAAAGACAGTTAAAACAAACCGATATAGTACATTTTTATTTCAATAAATAACAAATGTTTCAAGTCATTTACTTAGTATATATTTTGTATAAATGTTTAAACATTTTATAAAAAATACACGAAATGAAAGCAACATTAGTGTGCAATCAGTCAAATGAATGGTTGGCTATAATTCAGAGTGTCCACAATTTTCTTTTTGATTTAAAAAACTGAACAGCCATTAAACGCCAGCATCAAGTCTATTAACGCAAACATTAAATTGCATATTCAAAATTTTTAAACAAGATTTTGTTTTTCATTAATCACAGACAGTCTTTGTCATCAAGGCTATTGTTCAAATGGAGGATCTTGTAGTCAAAACAGCAATGGTGACTTATTATGCTCGTGCGTCGGAGGGTGGACCGGTGTTACATGTACAGGTAAAAAGGGGAATGCAAAAGTGTTTGATCACGAGATATATAAAGCATCTCGGAAGAACATTTCGCCTCAAACTTGCATTCACAAAATAAATGATCAATAATTAATTTTAAAACATGCAAAATTCACGTTCTAGTTCTTTTTTATAATACAGATTATAAAATATCAGTGTATATATTGCTGATATTTTATAATCTATATTATGTAAATAGCGTTTCCGTTATTTAACGTTTAACGAACGTATTGGATGAACTATTTGTTCTGCGTGGACGTTGGATCTTATTATAAGACAAGAGACCGAGTTCTCAGAATCTAGTATATATAGTTCATCGATTTCGTATTGTTTAAATCTACTTAATTTTGATATATATTTCATTTTGTGACTAAATAGGCTGAATTGTGGGATTCGTCTTCTTGAAGTACAAACACGTATTCACCGTTTGTATAAGAAAAGAAAAAGGTGCTCAAAGAGTTATTTTCTGCTAACAAAATTTATCATTAGAACAAACATAATTCTAGATAACTCGGGCTTACAAAAATTGTTAAGTATGAGCGACGTTTAAAGTATAATATATTCCCAACATAATGAATATTTACATATTTTATTCGTAAGATAGCATACATCCATTTTTACTTTACCAAATGACATTATTTGCATATTTTAACACATATTTGTCATTCGAAAATATTGAACGCATGCAAGTACTTCACATTGCAGCAACATTTTTAGTTTATACTTACATGTGCTCTAAAACTTTGTATTACTTTCATATTTTATTTGTTAAATGACTACGTTTATTATCATACTACTTGTAACGTATACACTGTACACGTGTTATGTGTATTTTGTATACATAGAATAATATAAACATGTTTTGTCTGATACGATTTGAAAAATTAAAAGAGCAATTTCAGGGAAAAGATGATGACCCTTGTATTATGCATTGTCAGAAGGGTTGAAAAAAGAGAAGTAATTGGTTATTTAATAAATATCGGCTTCAATATTGTAGAACCTTTCTTGTTTAAATAATGAAGTATGATTAAACATCGTAAAGTTCTCAAGTATGTTTCTCTTCTTGTTATAGTAGTATAAAGCCTTACATTGTACAAGAGATGTACATTGCTTTTTTAGAATACATATATTAGCATTTACTAACCTTAACATTTATATAATTACTTTCTTTTATTTGATTTGTTTGCTATTTGTTATACACACGAAACGTAATAGTTACTGAATTGGAAAACAAATGTAAGTATTAAATGATGTAATCATTATAAATTCTTTTTTTATAATACTAAATATCGGTTTTTTTAATCAAGTAAGTTTTCCATGTAATTACGTCTTTATTTCAGAATAAGTTTATTGAATTAATATAAATAAGTACTAATTCTTTACTTTTCATTTTCAGATCTTTTTTGTTATTTTTTGTTACCTGAAATAATACTTCTTATATGTTTCAGATATTGCAATACATATAGTTGTGAATGTTTTGAGAAAATAAGTACTTTAAATAACTCATTTAACATTATTCAATATGTGACTGTCACAAACTCACTGGTATTTTTTTTTTTACAAATATCTATCTTAATTTCTTGACATGTTCAATTCAAATGTTGTGTGTTTGAGCTTTATTTTCTTTGTAGATGATCATCTTTTCAGCCACAGAAGAAATTCGTATTTGGTTTGTCTTTTATCGGATGTTGTCAAGGACACAACAACACAGATTTTATCAGGTGTCCCTAGGATCATCTTAAATGAGGTAATGAAAATGACACATGTGCAGTCTTCTGAATCCTCATTGTACTATAAAAATTCAGACAAGTTTGTTTATATTCGGCCCTGTACTGTTCAACTTTCAGATATTTTAGATTTCAATGACAACCACCAATATTGCTCTATTTCCAAATGTAACCGAAAAAATTGTAAAACCTGTGATATACTAATATCTGATACCCACTTTCAAAGTAATTTAACCACCAAAAGTTACAATACACACAGTCATGAGGATCTGAATTGCACTGCTTCCAATATTGTGTACGGTATTGAATGTACTCTTTGTGGATTGATCAACGTCGGGGAAACTCGACAAAGACTCAATGTCAGAATAAATGATCATCGGTCTAATGTAAATGATCCTAATAACAACAAATTTCACTATAAACATTTCAATCAGCCTGACCATTCTATTGTTTCAATGAAAGTCCGGATTATAGAGAAAATATATCATTCAACAAATGCCCCCATATTGAGTACACCATATCGTTTACAAAGAGAAGACTTTTGGATATTAAGAGAGTTGGGAACAGCCATTCCCTATGGATGCAATGACAAAATTGATGGTGTAGGTATTTTGTCTAGTCCCAGGTGTAGTACTGTCAATACATTACAATTATTTAATACTTCTGCTCGATGTAATAGAAGTCATGGTCACAGAAAATATATACCACCTGCTGTGCACACCTTGACAATTGATAGTCTGTTAACGTCTGTTCAAAAACCTTTAGGAATTCATCATATCAGAACTAAATTATTCTCCATTCCATTGTCAAAACTTTTTTTTTACTATTTCAAGAGGCCCAAAATACTTCCGTTACTGATTCTCGTTCTGTTTTGTATAGATTAGTTGCAATAATCATGGACATTGCTAACCATAGACTATTCAAACCCGTATCGACTACATCCGAAAATGAGGAAAAACGTAATTTTTTTAAGGTAGAATTCGTCAATAAAGGTTTAGATGCTGTAAATATTAGCAATATTTTCCATCAAAAATCTGTACAAAAAACTATACCTGATTACTTCAAAAATAAAGCTACACCTGTTATTTCTTATACTTACACCAAGTCTATTGCATCCAAGATTTTCAACCACAAGAGAGTTTTACAGGCCTTTAACCTCAAAGATGTGAAATCCAAGCCTCCGGATTGCTCATGTGCATCGTCACAATACAAGTATAGTCCAGCTGGTCATGTTATTACTGGTGACCTTGGCATCGTTACCAATGAACAACTAAGAGAGTTGTTAGCCAAGGGACCAAAATATAGAATTCCCCAGCCCATCAACTGGAAAAAGAATTTCAAGTTACTGATGGATGCAGTTGAGGACTATACAAGAAAATGGAAAGCGCGAACCAGACGAACCAGAACTGGACACTTTGTCTGAATGGATCAAAGCTATTCGATCATGCATTCAGAAGCGCATTCAAAAACTACGATGCAATATGAGCACAAAAGTTACTAACCCTTTCAAAAATCAGGATGTTGTGGATGCTTCATCCTCTTTGCATGATAAATATGTCGTTGTTCCAGCAGATAAAGCCTCCAATAATATTGTCTTCATATGTAAAAACCATTATTTGCAATGTCTCACAACAGAGCTTGGAATAAATAGAACTACTGGTAACCCTACATATTCTTTAACAGGATTTACCAAGGACGAAATTTTACAAAATCACAAATCTGTCCTTCTTTCTTTTGGTATCAACATCAAAGAAAACGAAGAAAATTTACCATCATTATACTGGATACCAAAACTACACAAAACTCCATATAAAGAACGATTCATAGCTGGGTCATCAAAATGTTCGACTAAACATCTTTCTAAAGTACTGACTACTATTCTTTCTACAGTTAAAGATGGGCTTCAAAAATATTGAGATGAGATATATTCTACCAGTGGTGTTAACCAGATGTGGATTCTCAAAACTTCAAAAGATCTACTGCTTAATCTTCGATCACAATCTTTGCAATTTTGCAGCAACATAAAGACTTTTGCTTTTTCTACGCTTTACACTACTATTCCCCATGCTCAGTTGAAAGATCGACTTCACCATCTCATTAAACAGAGCTTTTTCTATAAAAATGGGAATCGTAGATACAAATTTCTTGTTTTGGGTTACAATAATTCATATTTTGTGAAAAACCACACTGAATCTACCAGAAAATATACTGAAGATGATATTATCAAAATGCTGGACTTTTTGATCGACAATATATTTGTTGAGTTTGGAGGATTTATATTTCAACAGACAGTCGGTATTCCAATGGGAACTAATTGTGCACCCTACTGGCCGATTTGTTTTTGTACTCGTATGAAGCAGAATTCATTCAGAACCTTCTAAAGAAGAAAAAGCACCTTGCGAAATTCTTTAGTTTTACTTTCCGATATATTGATGATGTTCTATCATTGAATAACCCATATTTCAGCCAATACTTACATCTCATATATCCCAGTGAACTTGAAATTAAGGATACTACTGATACTAGAAGGACTGCTTCATACCTTGATCTTTTCCTCAATATTGACACAGATGGACGACTTCACACGAAAATCTATGATAAACGGGACGATTTCAACTTCCCAATTATCAATTTCCCATTTCTCAGCAGTAACATACCCTCTGCCCCTTCGTATGGTGTTTACATATCTCAATTGATACGTTATTCTCGTGCTTGTTCATACTAAACGGACTTCATATACAGGAGTGTGCTCCTTCCGCAGAAACTGCTCCAACAAAGTTATGAGGAGGACAGATTAAAAATGACACTCCGTAAATTTTACGGACATATCACCAATTGGTTGATCCATACGATGTGTCTTTGTCCAAACTAACTAAGGACATTTTTACAACGTGTTAGATTGTAGTTTGTCATTACGTCGTCTGATCTTTTAATTACCGAACGTGACGTTTTCCCGATTGTGACTGTTTTGCAATGTGTGAAACCGCATTGCTATAAGACTTGTCACGGTACCTTTCTATCCCTAATTCATGTATTTAATTTTGATGTTATATTTGTTGTTCTCGTCGGATTTTGTCAAATGTCTTAACGTCTTTTCTGTTATATTCGTGTGTTATGGTAAAGATAATTAATCACCTCCTTCATTTATTAGATTTAAGTTTGGTTCAACGAAATTTATACGATATATTTGGTTTACAGTTTGATTTAGAAGAAACACCGACATAGCTAGATAATACAATTAATTACTAGTATCGAATTATTACCATTTGATATTAATAAGCATTATTTTCATTTTTATTAATAAATGTAATGTCAGTATTTCAAATCTAATCTTTAATCAATCCTAATCCCATCTTATTTTTGAGAAAGATTTTTTTCAAATTCAAATGTGACGTCACTTTGTGTGTTTTTTTAGAATTTCAAATGTGACGTCACTTTGTGCGTTGAGGCTTTGGCTTCGGCTAACTCGGCTGTGTATTTTTTATGTGTTGGATTAAGTTGTTTTACGTAATGTATCCGTTTTTATTCTGTAGTTAGTCCCCACTTTGGTTTTATCATGTATATCTATTATATAGTCATTTTATAAAATTTACTGTTTGCAAAATTATAAATTATTCTAAATAATAAGGATGTTCTTGTCCCAGGCAGAAAATCCTGGCCGTGTTAGGCGCAACTTTTTGGAAGTTTTGGTCCTCGGTGCTCTTCAGCTTTGTACTTGTTTTGGCTTTCAAACTTTTTTCATCTGAGCGTCACTGGTTGGTCTTGTGTGGACGAGACGCGCGTCTGGCGTATTGAATTTTAAGCCTAGTACCTTTTGTTAGCTATTATTCGTGTGTTTCTTTGTCCTATATGTTCTCCCATTTATTTGTATTGTGGTCCTGTCATGTGATGTTGTCGTTTTGGTGTTGTGTTTGACGTTGCCATAAAAGCGGGAGGTTTGGCATGCCACAAAACCAGGTTCAACCCACCATTTTTTTCTTAAAATGTCCTGTACCAAGTCAGGAAAATGGCCATTGTTATATTATAGTTCGTTTCTGTGTGTGTTACATTTTAATGTTGTGTTTTTGTTGTGTCGTTGTTCTCCTTTTATATTTGATGCGTTTCCCTCAGTTTTAGTTTGTAACCCGGATTTGTTTTTATCTCTATCGATTTATGAGTTTTCGAACAGCGGTATACTACTGTTGCCTTTATTTATCTGCAACAACATTTTAAAATCGTTAGAAAATACATTACGAAATGTTTTATTCATTCTTTGACAATATTTTCCGAGTCGCTCTTTCATCACAACTGTTAGAGATATAGCACCAAGCTAGAAAAAAAGAGGAAATTAAATGTTATGTTAACCTTTATATTTGTTAAAGGAAAACTGCAATAGAAAAACGTTTTGTTTTCTAATAATCTATTCGACATCTTATTTAGTATAAAAAGCTCAGGTTGGTAATAGTTTAGTCATCTACATGCTCAAATACATCAAACTCAAAGTAACCTTTGAAATGGCTATTACATAATTCTTCTTATCTTGTTCCGTTTATTTATCAGCAGGATTTATGATACATGTGTATGTTTCCTGCGGAATAACATGATATATACGTCATCGCCAATGTATTGAAACAGTAACACTAGTGAGTTTGGTGCCATATCTGGTAAAATGGGCAGGAATTTAACAAAATGGTAATTTGGAATACAATGTCGTTATTTGTTTATTTATTTACTTAATATGTGATAATGAGAAGGACTTCTCTTCCTCCTACAGTCGCATAAAATTATATCATATTGACAACGATGTGTGAACAAAAGAAACGTACACAATAGGTAAACATGTAAAAATAGAGGTACAACAGTCAACATTGTGTTATAATCTTAACAACTATAAAAACAAAGAAATATGTAACAACGAAACACACAAAGACATGAAGACAAAACACATAAGAAAAATTAAAGACAAGAATACAAAAATTTAACATAGCACAATAACAAAATGACGGGATGTATGAGTAGCGAGTCACGTCAAATGGATATCACCAAAAATAGACTAGACAGTAAAAGTAATATTCAAACAGACAAATAAAAGAATTCTAAAACATGTTATTTAGATGATAAACAACATCAGTTCCCAGAATCGATACTTCAAGACCATCGTTTATTATTTGTGACATTGATACGGAATATTTATAAACAAGGTATTGGTACCTTTCGATGATTTTTTTAAGAAAAAAGACGAGAGGTTCCTTGACATACCCCTGGTTCATTAACTTTCGGCTCAGACATTGGTGCCGTTTTACAAAGTCTGAGTAACAGGTGCAAGCTCTTGAACACCAAATAAATTGGGAAATGCATATCCCATATGCAGGTGAAGTTGGTATATTGCTACTAAGGTGGGGGAAATTGATAAATTTCAAAATTAAAACCGTTTCGTTTATCATAGATTCTGGTTCAAGGCCAATAACAACTTATAAAAAAAAATCATCAAAAATTATCAATCAGTACACATGTAACAGCCAATGAATTTAGTATAAGACGTTTAAAGCAGTCGGAGAAAAAACATGACATTTTGAAATGCAAAGATACAGGTCTCGCCAGATTGTAGATCCATGAAAGTTCATATGTATTTAACAATCTTATTCAGTTCAGTTTAAATTTACTGATAACAAATCAATATTAAAACCAATAAAAGCAATTTTCAAAGATCTAATTACAGTCTTAAAATGGTAACCTTTTAGAATAAGTTTATGTAAAGTATCGATAAGTTTAAGTTTGGGTAAATTTCGGCAGTATATTTAGAAAATTCTTGATCATTTAACGAACAAATATCATCAAGATAATGGTAAGTGTTGTTGATTTTTTCAATAAAATGCAATGTAGAAGGGTCTTTTCTAAGTTTGGTAATTAACTGTGATTCAAAATTATAGTACAAAAACAGGTCTGCTGTTAAAGGGGTGCAATTAGTGCCAATAGGGATACCTACAACCTGTTGATTAACTTTGTAGCCGAAACGTACATAAATACTATCAAAGATACATGATATTTAAGAATATACTCATTTTTTCGATTTTGTAGATGGAAGTTTGTTGTCTCTCTTGACCAATCTTTTTTTTCTATCTTTACTAATAGTTGTTTGTGTTTATGTGAAATTACTACAAAAAACAAAGGAATATATTTTAGTGTTCATTATTTGCTAATAAATGACATTTATATTCAGAAAATTAGTTACTTGATTAAAAACTTCAGACATGTTGGTTACCAAAAGTATCAACTTTAGATATTCATTTAAAGTGCTGAACTTTCTCAAATTGCCTACAGACTTAGATCATACAGTTGGTGTATAAGATGTTAACGACACCAAATCACCAAGGAGTTATCGGTGTCCCTGGGACCATTTCATTATGAAAGCCAGCCGTGACTACTTGGCCATCGAGACACTTGAAAAAGACGAAATGTCATGTATATGATAAGTGAGATTGGAGTATCTTCCATATTGATAAAATGTCTTAATATTATAACAGAATTTTCTTTCGCTAATCATAAAGAATGGTCAGGACACCCTTTTTTACCCAATTAACATTTAAATCTTGTACATTTGAATACTAATGTAACGTTATTTATATGTAAAAACTCATTTTGCCTTTTGATTAAGGACTTTCCGTTTTGAATTTTCCTCTTAGTTCAGTATTTTTGTGATTTTACTTACTACCAGGCTTACAAAGTTTATTGAATATTGTAGAAATTTATGATTCTAGAAAGAAAGGCTACATAAAGCTAGCAATTTTATGTTGGGCAGTTCTCGTGATTTTGAAGAAATATGGTTCACTGTTTAATTAATGAAGTTGTCTTTCTAGATTAAAGTTTAAAGTCATAAAATAAGTATGAAAACTTAATGCATCTGATGTGCATCGATAGCAGACATATGATGCTAGTTGAATAACCCTTTAAAGTTAGTTCCTGTCATGATATGCCAATACTAATGGGTGTTATTACACCAAGAACATGCAAATTTTATCTACATTTTAAAGCTTTTTGAAATACACTTTCCGAAACAATACAAATATATTGTTACATTTTTGTAAATGTATTGAAACATGTACCTGTATTATAAAACGAAATATCTATAAAGGTCCCATATTGCATATTTTGGTATTAATATTGATTCACTCATAGGGTCTTTGCATCGGAAATAAAAATATTTATTCTAAAACTAGTTGTTGGCATGATACGGGTTATGTTTTTTTTTATATAATTTATGATGGTATGATACTAAACCCCTAACGGGAGGGATTGTACTTGATTTTATATGATGAAGACATAATCTTTCGATCAGTTTAAATGAGGTCTGGAGCTGGCATGTCAGTAACTGCTAGTAGTCCTTTGTTCATTTATGTATCATTGTTATTTTGCTTAGTTTCTTTTGTTACCTATTCTTACATCGGACTCGGACTTCTTTTAAACTGAGTTTTACTGTGCGTATTGCTATGTGTTTCTTTATTCTACATTGGCTAGAGGTATAGGGGGAGGGTTGAGATCTCACAAAACATGTTTAACCCCGCCGCATTTTTGCGCCTGTCCCAAGTCAGGAGCCTCTGGCCTTTGTTAGTCTAGTATGTTTTTTAATTTTAGTTCATTTATATGTTTTGGAATTTAGTATGACATCCATTTTCACGGAACTAGTAAACAATTTTATTTAGGGGCCAGATGAGGACCACCTCCGGGTGCGGGATTTCTCGCTGCATTGAAGAACCATTGGTGGCCTCCGGCTGTTGTCTGCTTTTTGGTCGGGTTGTTGTCTCTATGACATATTACCTATTTCCATTCTCAATTTTATCATTTTTACAAATGTTCAACATAGAACTGAAAACAGAAACGTGAAATGTGTCAAAGTGACAACAATCCTAACAAAGAGCAGAAAACAGCCAAAGGCAACCACTGAGTCTTCAACGCAGTGGTGAAATTGGCAACCGAAGGCGGGCTCCATCTTTCTCCTAAATAGTGATTTATACTACACGTACTAGTTCTACGAAATGGACGCCACACACAACTTTGAAACATACAAATATACAAAAAACTGAAAACACAGACACAAGAATAACAAAGCCCCGATGTTTCTGGCTTGAGACAGACACTAAAATGCAGCGGATTTAGATATGGTTTGTGAGATCTGTATCCTCCACGTATCCCTCTAGCAAATGTAGACAAAACGCTGCAAAACGTGCAGTTAAACTCAGTTTACAGGAGGTCAGAGTTCGATTTTTTAAGAGGGAACTGAAGAAACTAAACAAAATAATTAACATAAATTAACAAAAGACTACTAGCAGTTACTGACATGCTCGCTCTAAATCTCAATGCAACTAATTGAATAATAATGTCCCATCATTAGAACACCTTACTTTACTTTTAGTTTCCCTCAATATGTAGATATTGATGATGGTGGATGGTGGATGGCTGCTTAACGTCCAGCGGCAAATGAATATGCATTTCTTGGAAGACAACATGTTTATGTACTATGAAATTTACTCCTGCTTTGCAATAGACTGACACGCTGAACGAAAATTTAAATGTGCTAATTCACAAGGTAAAAGTCCTTTATCCATTTTTTCTGAATCTGTACGTGCTGACCAGTATTTGTTCTTACTCCTTAATGCCACGTGCTTAGCGGAGAAGCAGCAAATATCAATTTTAAAGTCTTTCGTTTGACCAGTCCAGGTTTCGAACCTACGACCTTCCGCACCCAAGTCGAGCACGCTACCAAGAAACCACAGAGGCAGTGGGTAGACATTAAATATTTTCCAACAGATAAACATCTGCAATAACGAGGGACATAATTTACAAGTCTTATTGATAATCCATGCACAGCATTTCTGGTAAATAATATACTTTATTTGTTTTTAATTGTACTTATATTGCAATATGTTGTTCAATATAATGCCTGTTCAAAGTCAATGTGTGAATGAATCAGTATGAAAAAATAAGTTGATATTATTTGATACATCTGAGTTTAAACTTCAGAAAAGAAAATAACAGACTCAAACCATTATAAGCCTATTCGTTTGACACAAAAAGTCACAAAAATGGAAAAAAGCATGGTATGTTATTTGTTATATTTCAATTAGTAATCTTAACTATTAGAACTATTTAATCTTACCTTTTAAGTATTTTTTTTAGCATAACTTAAATTGCCTGGAAATGACATTTTATGAAACGTACAATTCTATTTAGTATTTTGTCCTGTTGTCTTCTTTTGTTTCATTGGGAATTAAGTAAAGGATTTATTTCTGCAAAAATCAATACATCTTTTTCTGCACGCTAAATTTATACTTGATTCATTACAAATTTCAGTCTAAAATTAGAGGCTGAACAAATATCATATTATTATTGAAAAGCCGGGGTTTTCCTCTTTTCTGAACGTGTCCTGTTACTTGTAAGTGGTACTAGTTATGTTATATATTAAACGACATCGGAAAGGCGCAGCCAATGCTAAAAAAGGGTAATCAAGAAATCAAAAACAAACACAACAGATTATTTTATGGCAACTGATTGAATGATAATGTCCCATCATAAGAACAATCAATAAATGTTACGGGTCCAACATGTTAAAGTACTTTCAGATTTTGTTTCACTTGCTGTTTGTAATGGCTTTAAGCTGAATACTTGTATCTTTGGTGAATTCATGCAAGCGTTGGTTGTGTGAAAATATCTTTCGTTTATTTGAGGTCAGAAAGAATGAGTATTCATAATTCAAATCAAATTATTTGATGCTTACTAAAAGGTTTTCTATAATAAGGTCACGGTGTTGGCCATCAACTTAATCCTTGATGTTTAAGTAAAGACGAGATATTGTATACATTGTATAAGCTTATTTCACCAAAACACACATGATATAATCCAATTAATGACTTCATTTGTTACCCTATAAATCAAAATGCTAAAAGTTTTATAACTTACAAAAAAAAATTGAAAGAACAGAAATACTGAACCCCAAGGAAAATTCAAACCAAACGTCCCGTAACTAATGACAAAATCAAGAGCTCAAACACATCATATGAATGGAAAACTACAGTCATATGCCTGACTTGGTACCTTATGTAGAAAATGGTGGATTAAACATTGTTTTATAGCTAACTAAACATATCACTTGCATGACTGTCCCATAAAATTCCATTATATTGAAAGCGACGTGTGAGCAAAACAAACAGACTTATAACTAATAGATAGAAATGACAAAAGCTAGAATACAGCAGTCAACATTGTGTTGAATGCTTCTTTGAGAAAACGAAGTTATGATACATTTGAAAGTTGATTCTGCAATAAAATATTCCATTGTTTTCTAATTTAAGACAGCGCCAATTTGCATTCTTGCAGGCATTCAATCCAGTCTTCAAGAATTGTTCATAAAGTAACTGAAAACATACGACTACTTTAAGACAAAACTCTAACAAAATCTGTATAGTCATGGGACTTTTGTTTTGAATTAAAATATCTGATTGTAAATAAAGTGTTCATGTCTTATGCTTTGTAAACCGGATAAACAACTTTTGCGATATATTAAAAAAAGAAATATCAAAACGGAGGGAAAATACATAAAAAAAAAGAACAGAATAAAAAAGAATAAAACAAATGAAAAAAGATTAAAACAAAGAAAACAAAAGAAAAAAAATAACTAAAAATTCAAAGTGTATATATAATATTTAATATATATAAAAATTGGAAGGGTGGGTAGTGCAGCCATGATTTTATCTTGCCAGTTTCAGGCCTTGAAAAATACAGAGTGGCCACCCTTGTGTACAACTAGAGTAGAAAGAATGAAACACAAAGAACGCATCAGAACTATTATCATGACTATTATTGATATGAGATACATCCAATTTATTGATCGGCAATTTGCTGTAATAAAGGGGTGAAGTAATTTGAAATATACTTTAACACGTTTTATTGTACAATGTTTTTGATCCATTTATAATTAATGTCTTTTTATCTAGACCAGTTTTCCCCGTAATCAATTTATTATCTGAAAGATCACTTAACCCTTCATTCTACGATGGACGGTACTTACAAGTGTACAAATCAGCATCTATGGCGATGTAAAAACTCTTTTTTGTTCATATTTTAAAAAAGGCGGGAGATACAATTGGGATATTAAAAACTAATAAATTCAAGAAAAACTCCATGTCAAAAAAATAAAAACTCAAATCCACATATCATTGTATTTATGTGTTCTTGTGAATATGTTTTTTTCAACATGTATTCAAAACAAAGGTTTGAAACAAAATTTAGGGCAACAGAAGTTTAATGATGTTGAAACCTGATACATCTATTTGGAAATCAAAAATAAAAACCGATGGAATCTTATGACTGCAAAATAGGCGAGATCGTGTGTGTCGACAATTTAACTGTCACTTAATATACACAAATCGCACTTAATGCCAATCTACACACAACCGAAATTTAAAAATCAATTGTTAGAATGTCCGGAATATAACAACTTCAAGACAAACGTACTGTATAATTCGGCATGCATTGACACTTACTTATACTGATACTGATACTGACGAGAAAGGAACCTGCTTTGATTCTTTACATGACTTTTTGTATAATGCTTTTGTTCAATTGCTAACAGAAAGATAACAGCAAGATCCGTCAGTGCAAAAGAAATAATTTTTGATATTGTTCATGATTAATTCTATTAAGCTGCTCTTGTGTACTGTCCTAAATTATTTTAGTTATTCGTTTATTATTTATTTATGTATTTCTCTGTCTTTGAAGTTTTTGCATTTATTTGTACTCTGTTCCCGTCATGTAATGTTGTCATTTTAGCGGTATATTTAACATTGTCATAAAGCCCGGAGATTTGGCTAGCCACAAACCAGGTTCAACTTACCATTTTTTTCTTAAAATTTCATGTACCAAGTCAGGAATATAACAGTTATTATCTAATGGTTCGCTTCAATGAATGTTGCATTATTGTTTGTTTTTTGTTGCACTTCTGTGTTCTGTTATTTCGTTGTTTTCCTCTTACAGTTGATGTGTTTCCCTTTGTTTTAGTTTGTAACCCGGATTTGTTTTTTCTCAATCGATTTATGACTTTGAACAGCGGTATACTGCTATTGCCTTTATAGATACATTTGGTCATTTTTTTTTTAGAATAAATTGATAGAAAGTATGCAACTGCTAGACCTATACGGCAAATTAGAAAGGCAGATAGGGATTTCATCGTGGTGCAGATTAAACAAATCTGTGGAAACAAAGATACACACTAGCAAATGATCAGATACTTTATTGTGCTGCAAACAATTTGAGTAGCAATTATCACTAGTTTGACCAATAAATCAAATGTCTCCATGATATATTGTGCCTTTTTTCCCCCAAAATTTCAATTTATTTATTTCCATTTCTATCTGTAGTACTTACCTCTTTTTTCGTAAACCCTGAGAGTAAAACAGAATGGTATACTTTTTCTTCAACAAAGGTCACTAACGGTTTACGCTCATGTTTATGATATAAGCAAATAACCCACCTGTATACTAACATGAATTAATCTTCAAAATGTATAGTGTTCCACAAATAAAACATTCTTGCTTTAATTATCAAGACAACTCTGTAATTTGTTATCATTATAAAAAAAAATTATCAAGGAATTTCTATAATTACCAGACACTCAGAAACAAAAGATCTACCATTTTAAACTCATGATGAGGATAACTTCAAAATAGGCAATGATATTGCACATATATTCACATAACAACTTTAAGGGGTTACACATCATTTTGGATTGTAACGCTTGTCATACAAAGATTTTTGATATATGTTGTCGAATTGGAATATTAATATTAGAATATTTATTTGTGCGTGGTTTTTATAAAGAAAACAATATTCAAATATGTCATCAGTGTTCGTTGATCGTCAATAATTCGGACTTTTTGTCTTTAAAAATAAATTTCCCTAGTTCTTCCTATACTATAATGTCCAACCACGAAATATTTTATCTTATCTTTTCATGGCTGAAACACTAAACTTTTTTCAACACTCTCATTCAAACGATTAATTCATTCTTTTTTTTTAATATTAAACAATTATGGTAGAGCACGAGGGCTACTGATACTTTTACTTAAATGTTAGTGAACAGTGCATACAAAATGAAGTAAAATCCTTTTAGTCCTAGCGGTATTATTTTAAGAACGCAAGAGCAAAATCACTTTTGTTTTGCATCTGCACTTAACACATTTTGCTTGATCTTTTCCCATATTTTATCATATATTCATCCCAATACATGATGACAATTCTTTGTATCATACATTCATTCATCGAACGTTTGTATTAGATTTTTATGTTTGAATAGCGTTATAAATTAGTACATAGAATAATAGCACTCAGGGTTGGTAAATGTTCATTATACTTAAATTGCAAACCATTCATTTTCTGTAGAGCAAAATCATATACCTCTTAACACGATGTATTGTACTGCGCAATAAAGGTGCATTTGTGACAAATACTATAGTTTGTCATTTAAAGAAGCTTCATTCATGTCTGATTAAGAAAGAAAACGTCCCCCCGATATTTGATTAACTTTATTACAAT